TATCCGTGCACGATGGTACACAGATATTTTTCATCTGATTTATAACCTAAACCTGTTTATAACCTTAGCTGGTTTTATTTGCTCTAAAGTCTATTTGCTCCTGGTGCTCCTGTTAAAGGCCGATTAACTAGAAGTTTGTTACAATAGTATTTATCAGTTTGCAAAGTGGTCAATGAAAGCATTTCAGCCAAGTGTTCATTCAATATATACGTCCCGCCCGGGGACCTATAAAATCAAGTGAAACAATTAAATTTGATGGTTACACAATTTTAAAGATGATATTAGGTAGGTGGCGTCCATTATTCTCAATACATAGCGTTAGTCGAACTCGGAAATTTCATTTAACTCTTTCCAGCATATCGACAGGTATGTTGGCAACAGCACGGCGCATGTTGTTCTTCAGGTGATCTAAAGTCCTAAGACAATCGTTTGAAACAAGTAATTTTAGATAGTCTCATAAAAATAGTCGCAGAAGGATAAATCAGGAGACCGTGCTGGTCAGTGCAGATTGCCCCTCAAGGAGATAGACTTCTGGGAAGTAGTGCCGCAAAATAGTTATTGACACACGTTTTTATGTGTGCCGTGGCACTGTACTGCTGGAACCATATATCTCCCACATACATCTCGTTAAGTGTTGGCAAGAAAAGCTCCTGGATCATGTGGACATAGCTGTTAGAACTCACCGAAACTGTCCGTTCGTTTTCTTCGTAAAACTATGCACCAATTATTGTAACTCGCAATACTGCATACCAAACAGTCACTATTGTGAATATAGAGTTATCAGGGATCTAATAGCCATGTTCAACTTATTTACGGATCCCGAAAGATGGAGTGGACCGCATCACTGAAGGAAATAAGTGCCCCATAAGGCATGCCAAGAAATGCTTCACAGGCATTTTCTCGAGCAGCAAAACAGCATGTATTAATTTCCTGCATCACAGCCAATGCGTAGGGATGAACTGGAAGGATTCACAGAACGAACAGACGACAGAACAACAAATGCATGTTTGCGGGCAGAGCGCTGAGGGGATCGCAGCACAGAAAGCTTTACCTTGCCAATGGTTTGGGGTGATCTGGCTGTTCGTGAAAGTCAATGTTCCCTGAAGTTGGTTACCCATCCAACAATCGACTGCCGACCAGGAACACGACCACGGGGGCGATACTGAAATGGGTACTGAATTCAGTTTATTATTGGTAAAGGTTTTGCGTTCAAAAAGTGTAATACCGTTCGAAACGTATGCCTCCACAGCGAACGCGAGCTTTGCTTTCGTCCACTCCATGAGGCTAAAGCGGAGCTAAGACTTCACGGTCCAACCTCTCGAATGTGCCTATCCCCACACTCCTTGGAGCAACCTTCACGTAAGGGCGCCTATTTCAAATGAGCAAGTTGCTGTGCCCCCACCATATATTAGGCTTAAATATATAATATAGACCGCTTAAAAATAAAGAGAAATTACAAAAGAAAAAAATTCATTAGTGAAAATACTCCAACAAAAATTTATCAAGTTATTATAATAATGTGAATACAATTATCGTATAGACTTTATTTGTAAGTCAGCCACAATATATGGCAATGTAAAAATTTTAGAATTATTAATAAATACTAGACAAGGGCGGACATGGGCAGAACCCATTAACCGTAATAATAGAGGAATGGTGACCACGTGTTCCGTTACTACTACTACTACTGCCCTTTATTAGGTATATCATATGATAGTAAAACTTCCGAATATGTTAAATGCAGTGGTAATTATGGTAGTCTTCAGGTACGAACTTGGATTTTACTTGTCGAAATAAAACGTTATTTACCCATTCACAATCTAACCTACTTCCCAACTACTTATTTCATAATTTTATAATTCCAGGTCTAATAATTTCTGAGTTGCAAGCTATAAAAATGTGTTATTTACTTTATGCTGCAAACAAATCCTTGCCTGTAATGTCACGTGCAGATATTCTAAGGCAAAGACAAAAAATTTCGACACAAATCAAATTATAGTTCACTAGAACGTTATGAAAACATGATTTCATATTTCTCATCTAAGAATTAATATGAAAACTTTCAATTTTTTCCCACATAGGTTTATAAAAAAAATTATTTCCATTTGAAGTCATGTATTTTATTAAGAACAACAAATTTACAATTAGTACATTTAACACAGAACAGTTTATTTTCCAGAACATTTTACAAAGTAAGCTTTCCAGTTATGCAAGAAAGCAGCAGATTGTATTTTTCTCTATAATATTTTTGACCAATTCATCTTTTTCTAAAGACCAGACTTTTTAATATGGACTGTTTTTTTAATACTGGTTTTACTTTTGACATTAATATACCATTTGATTTTGTTAAGAGAAATACAGCTTAAGTAACTTTCTTTTGAAAATATTTCAGTTTATTATTGGTAAAGGTTTTTTTATTTATTAGTTATTTATTCAGCTCCTTACTGATAATTTATTAAACTAGTAACATATTATTTATTACATATTAAGTTAACAAGAAACAACAATATACAGTTGGAAGAGGAACATCACAACAAGTATATACGGTACTAAGTGGCAAACACTCTTCATGAATATTTTAACATAAGTAGAAGGCAGTATAATAAAACACTTTTCAACATGTTCACAATCAAACTAGCTATCCTGTATGTTCAAATTTTATACTTCTACTTCCTCTATATATAATTTAAATACAACAAATAGGCATTACATTTAGTAAGGCATTAAATCAGTAACAGTAGAAAAACATTTTCTATAATATTATTACCTTGTACTAAAAAAATAAATAGAAACAACTGTTCTAAAGAAGAAGATTCAAACAAGAAGTTCTGGTTCATAAAAATAAGAACAAATTTAGAATTACATATACAATTATTTACAAATATTTAGAGAAACTACACAGTTGGCGCTATTCTCGCAGGCTAATGCAGAAGACATCGATATTTTAGCTTTAGCTTACTTTGGACAAAAAGCAGCATTAGCGATTAATTTAATTTGATCGGTATATTATCAAGTTGTTGCACATGAAATGCCAGGATTTTGAGGATTATATGATTTTCATTTTATAAAACACAACTAACTAGTGCCAGTGTCTTAAAAATTAATGTTTATAAATCCGTGCATATGTTATGGAATACTTTGAGTTCTAGATTGCAATATGATTAAACGATTATTGATAAATTGATTACCTTTTCTTTATAACTTGTTTACAGTGCAAAAGATGCAGCCACGAACATTAACAGAGTGTTTTGAGTTAGTGATATGTGACAAAAAAGGGATCTTATAAAATATTCATCTCTGACCTATTCAATAGCTAGATGAAATAAGGCTTCAGATACCAAACCCAAACTTAAAAACTTCATTTGAGAAGGACGATACTAACTACATTGATGGTGAACAAGTGGAACTTTATCGCAAAATGCGATAAAATATTAATGTTAAGAAGCACTGGACGCAACTGGACGGTGTGCTTCCAAAATTGTGTACGAAGCATGGTAGCTGGCCAACAAAGCTTCCCTCTGGCCAACACACTACTTCATGACAACATGCATAAAAAACAAACAGCTTGTACTGGAAACACCTTCACGTAGAATATATTTATCGGACCTCACTGTCCACTGACTTCTGCTTTCGGAAATACTTAAATTACTTTTTGATAGAGAAAGGGCGCGACAATGATGGAGTTCTCAAAAATGTCTTCGAGGAATTTCTTAAGTTAACTGGAGTTTTACCAACTAGCAAATACACTTCATCTTGCTAAAAAACGTATATTGCATCTAATGGTGCCTATTTCGATTAATGAAAGTGAGTTTACAGAGGCTGTTCGAACATTTTTTAGACGATTTTGGTAAGCGGTAATAAAAAATCGTTTGCTGCAAAAGAAGTAATTGCAATTGTACTATGTTTTTAAAAGTCAAAATTATCGTCTGCGGCTTGAAAGTTTTGTTTTTATTCAAAATGGCGAATTTAACAAAGCAGTGGTTCGAAGGCTACATTTACGCTCTTTCCGAAGAGAAATATGCATACTCCGTTATCCAAAAACGATGTGAGAGTCATGGTTTTGTGATATCTAAAGCGTCGATAGGTAATATCATCAACAAGAAAGGGGAAAAAAAAGTCAAATTGGAGCCTCAAGTGGGACAAAATTCCAAACAAGTATCCAAGGAAAAAACGGACATCTTCGACTATTGCAAAGGTATGTTACTTAATGTTAAAAGAAAATCCCCCTAGTCAAAGGACAGTTGCAAAATCATTAAAATGCTCGGTGTCTACTTTAAACAAAATGAAAAACGTTGATTTAAATCTTAAAAAAAGCGAAAAAATGCAATGTGCATCGTCTTCTTCCAAAGCATACCGCTCAACGCAGGACACGCTGCAGAATTCTATATGAGAAACACTTATCCAAAGAAAAATGGAAAACAATTGTCACAATAAATGAAGCATGGGTATATTTAAATGTTTGTAACAAAAAAAGAGCCATTTATTATCACAAAAGGGGAGACAAAATTTTAAGTTCATGGTTCAAAGAATCAAAAGAAAGTTTTTCTAAGGGATTCATGATTGTTGCTGGTTTTTCTTATAATGGAAAGTTAAAAATAAAGAGAGTGCAAAAAAGTGTCAAGATTAACTCCAAATACTATCAGGAACATATTTTATCGCCAATTTTTCTGAATGAAATACCATCGCTTTACCCATAGTGCCATCAATCTGTGAGACTCCATCAGGACAAAGCTAGCAGTTACACATCAAAATACACTGTAAATTTCCTAAAGAAATGGAACAAAAAACTGGTATCAATGCAATACACTTCACTGATATCCCTACTAAATTTCCCGATGTGTCACTTATGGAGTTTTGTGCTTTCGGACTTTTAAAAACTGCATTATCCAAACGTTGTCCCAAAACCCTAACAGGACTCTGAAAAGCTGTTCGGGAGGAATGGGATAGAACACCTCTTCTGCCACTTCAAAAGGCATTATTATCCTGGAAATTGCTCGAAAGATAGTTCAGAATAAGGGATGTCAAATAGAACATTTAAAACATAAGAATTTTATGTAATTTAGTTTTGTGAATACAATATACATCGTCTATAAAATGTGTGAACAGCCTCTGTAGCAGAATTACCATTGTCTGAAGTTCCAATATCAAATCCAACATTTCATGTGCGACCTTTGCCGATTACAACAAATAATTTAATTAACACTAATATGCTTCATAATGAGTCTACTAGAGCAAATTAACCCAGTCTGACTATTGCTTAGGACAGGAACTAAGACAGCAGGAACTAAAGACAAGAAAAGTATGCAAGAACGTAAGCAGTTTTGCCATTTGGAAGAACAGGGTCAGGGTTAGTTGCTGAACAGAAAGCTGTGACAAAGTTAGTGGCATTTATTTGTCCAAGGTAACTAAAGCAACCAAAAGCTTCTCAAAACTTTCAGGTTCTTCACCCTTTAAGAAGAAAAGAATTATTAGAGCAAATGAGATAAAAAAAAATCTAAGAAAATTCGTAAGAAATTAGGAATTACACTGAAAGAGTTACAAGTGACCAGTGTTTCTAAAAACATAAGAAAGAAAACTTTGGCTCAATTATAATAGTAATTATTATTTTTTCTTTACATTTAATCCAGCTGAGACTACTAAATATATTTATTTATGGTTACAAAAAAGCCTTAATTTAAGTTTGAACCTAAAATATTGCCAGGTGCTGTATAGATAAAGAAATGTACCCTTAAAAAACATGGAAAGCAGTTTTTTTAAAGATTTCTGAAATTTAAAATACATTTTATGTTTCAGTTTTTCTTTTTTATACATTTCTGAATGCAAATGAACTTTTCAAGCATATATAATAATTTTTTTCTCACAAGGGAAAATAATTTCTGAGAAATACTCTTACTAATTACTCTACTGAAACTCTTACTCTACTGAAAAAAATGATTCTAAAATATAACCGTTTTTTGTACAAAATAGATATAGCAAGAGCAAAAACAAATAAAACAAATGCAAAACTAGAAGATATGTAAACTGATTTACTTTTAGTATTAAACTGTAAGCTTGATTCACATTAATGGATTTCAACCACATAAAAAGTAAAATTTCGAAAATAATAAAGATGTAACTGTTTAAATGGTTTATTATCTTTCATCATATAATGATGAATTTTAATGCAATATTAAATATTATGTATGTAATATTATATTTAAAGTATTCAGAGTTTCTAGGTTTTTTTATGTTCATATCTATTTTCCGACACAGTTTAAAAACGAAACTTTGGCTGTTTTAAAAAGCAGCTTTGGATAACTTTTAATTACTTTTGCAAAGTTTGTGCTGTTTTCAAAGCAAATTTTAAATGAAATATTTCTCCTTCCTAAAATCTTTCATTTACAACAATTACAAAAATGGGAAAAGTAGTTTAAAAAATAATACTTACTTTTTTTGCAAAAAAAAAAAGGACGTTTAAAAAAGCCTGAAAATTCTGTGAATGCTTTCATACGTAAATTATTTTAGAAAATTATCAGAATAGCAACAACTATGACAATAAGTGTAACACTTACTCTTATAGAATCTTCTAAGGTTTCTTTAAATCTTTTCTGATATTCAGATTTGATAAAGACCATGTCTATCTCACATCTACTCACAACGATTCTCATTAAAGCTTTGTCATCTCGATTTGCACCCTAAAATTAAAAGAAACAATGTCTTAGAATGAATTCAAAAATGCAAAGTTTTACTTGGTAATCTCTTCAAACAAAAAATTGCAACTTTTACCTTAATCAGCAAAACAACATAATGCTTTATTTTCAAATAAATTTAAGCATTGAGAATGAGTAAAAATAATATATATATAATACAGGGTGGGGTAAATAAAAGTGGTTCGAAGAAAAGAGTTCAGGTAACAAAGGAAAGTAAATACAGTACTAAACTGACCGTAGCAGATGTTGAAATTGACCACCACTCATCTCTTGGCACTTTTGGGCCCTGGTTACCAAGTTGCTGAAGCCAGTTCGAAGTTGGACTGAAGGAATTGCTGCAAACTCATCCAAAATGGTCTGCTGCAGTTCTTGAAGACTATGACGGATGTTGCGATACACCTTAGACTTGAGGGTTCTCCACAAAAAGTAAGTACTCACTGAGAGATCAGGTGACCTGGTGGCTAGCTAGAGCCGAGACTAGACTGACCTCTGCTAACAACTCTGTCAGCAGTGAAGAGTGTGTAAACGTGTTCCAAGGTGCGGTCGGCTGTATGGGTAGTTGCTCCATCCTGTTGGAAGAAACTGTAGGTTCCTCAGTTAATGCTGCCACAAATTGATTATAAATGGTGGAAATGCAACGCTCCGAATTCAGTATTTGATGAAAGAAGATGGGATCAATAACGCGGCTGGCAGACACTACACACCAAACTCCCAACCTTCTGATCATGCAATGGTGAATGGTGGAAGGTATGCGGATTCTCCGCTGTCCAGAACCTATGATTCTGTGAGTTGACATAACCACTCAGGTGAAACAATGCTTCATCAAAAATAAAGAAAAGATCCATCTCCAAGCCATTCATTGTTATCTCAGTGAACAACCACTCACAAAACTGGAGGCGCTGAGGAGCATCTGCTGGTTTTAATACGTGAACAACACACACTCTGTAGGAATGCCTTTTCAGGTCCAGATGGAGTATTCGTCCACAAGATCGACGTAATATGTTGGTCTCTTAGGATAGGCATCGGGTTGATTTGGTAGGACTCTGAAGCATTTTCTGCTGAACCGCAGCCACATTTTTTTGGGTGTTTGAACACATTTTGGAATGTTTTTTTACTTGTTCAAAACAGATCCTGTCTGACGCCATTTTACGACTAATCAATGCATGGCATTCTTTGATGGCACTTTCACACCATCAAACGTATGAGCAAACAATTTACCACACTGTTTCTCTGACTTTGTTGTAACGTAATTTTCAACAACAATCACCCTTTGCTGCACTGTGCGTATCATCTTCATTTTTACACTGCTCAACACACACTGAAACAGCCCACACTAAGCTCTGAACTGGTTTGGATAAGTTGGTGTGCGCGTTACGTTGTGTGATTATATGCACATATTCATGTTCAATCGTATCCACTCGTCTAGGGCACTTTTATTTGCTTTCCTTTGCTGTGTTTTTTTCTAACCTGGAACTCTGTTCTCCGAGCCACTTTTATCTGCACCACCCTTATATGTAGAAAAGTTTGAGTGATCACTTATTACGACATCTTTCGACAAAATGTCTGTTTTTGTCCGGTGGCAATACTACATTACGAAATTACAAGACACGAGGACGTTGATTAACAGTACTCGAACGATGTAGATGTTTTTAGTTTATTTGTATTTTAGTTTAGAACTGAAAACAAAACGAAACGACTATAAACTTTAACTGTAAGAATTGCTGCGATGTATATAATTTGTGAATATACTGTAGGAATAAAGTTTTGTGCTTTAACAACTACTGGTGGACTGGTGCAGCAGCCTGACTGAACGTAAGGTACAAAATGAATACAATTTAAGATTCAGATATTTTATACTTTTACGTTACAAATGTGTATTTCAAAAAGTCCTTTAATGTCATTAAAGATGCCTGGATATGTTATTGCAGAACAGACGTTTCCTGGAAAAGGTTATTCAATAGTATTGTCTTATGTAGTGTTGAGTGGGTTTGCTGGCGAGAGATTATTGCTTAATACAACAACAATTTATGTAGAAATAGGAGAATCAAGACTGAAACCCTACATACACTATATCAGAAAAGAAAACTGCCATGTTGGCATGGTGATTAGGGAACTAGCTGAGGTTCAAATATCTGAGAAGACATGGATGTGTGTTAATGTACAATGTCTATGAAACATCTAGGCATTTAAAATACTACTGCCAAAAGTCTTGTTGGGAGGTTAATGGGTACCCATCAACCTCCCAACAGGAACCTTTCTCAGAAAAATTCTCCATCGAAATTGTGATGCAGCTGAGCAAAAATTGAACTGTTGTTTATATGGTGGCCAAGATACAGCGAATGACAGGTGCTTATTACCCCTTGTTCATGATGAATTCATGGAGCTGATCAAGATCCTCTCAGTAGAAACGACAACGATGAAAGAAATTTTGGTACTTCATAACTGTTCGCACCCCATACCGAAACGTCCCGCATTCGTTGTCACTTTCCACGAGATGTTTTGATTTTTTGCGCTGTTGTTTCTTGCCCGAGGTACACTGCGATTTAATTTCGCTCAGAAAAATCAGCAAATTTCATAAACTCAAAGTTGATGAAAGAGTTACTCCAAGGGAACCTGTTCCATTTCTGGGAAAATCATACAATGACATTAAATAGAAAATGTACAAATGATTCATTCAGTACATGGATTTCTTTAAATCAAAACTTTAATTCAGTATAAATGTTTTTTTTATTAGCAAGCAAAAATTGTGTACCTAACCCAGATGACGAATGAAAAATAAATAATATTGATAAATAAATGAAGGCAGAAAGGCATAAGATCACAAAATTTAATGCTAAAATTAAGACAGAAAATGTTTTCGGAAAGAATATGCAAGGAAAACAACATTCAAAATAATCAGAAGAACACGACAAAAACACTTTCAAATATTTAATTTTTTACACACACACACATATAAGAGAAAAAGTATTATCTTACTTTCAAAGCACGATACAGTTTTCTTGCAAAATACGCAGGAGTATTTTCTACACATCGAACTGTACAAGGAAAAGAACATTTATTAAATTGAAATTAACTGTAGTTACATAATATGCTATCAATAAATCACACAAAGGATTAAATATGCTATACTTATGGCTAAAGCTTGATCTTTAAGGTAACCTAATAATTATCCACCAAATTTTTTAATTTGAATTTTCGGCAACTTGTACCGTTTTTCATTAGAAGCACTTATATGCTACTATCTGTGTTAGAACTCGTATTAACACTACGGTCAACCGTATTAACTATATTCTCTTTCACCCGACGATTAAGCGTGATAAACGCATCCGAATATTCTTCGCAGCCTATGACCTCTGTTTCCAGATCATCGGAATATTCTTCGGATACCTTAACAGTAGAAGAAAAAACCAACGCCGAAACATTTTTGTGAAGTTTAGAGCAAAGGAAGCACTTTCAAGAGAAAGGAGATTCCGTCCATGGATTATTGGTACTGAGAGACAACGACGGAGTCCTCAGAGTTAAAACTAAAATCATTGAACGTGATGATGAATTCTGCTTCCTTTATCCCCTGTTGCTTCCGTCCAAGCATTATTTAACTGAATGCCTCATAAGAGAGTATCATGAAAAGAACTGTCATGCGGGAGTGCAAAAATTAGCTGCTAAGTTAAGAGAGCGATACTGGATCATTTCGTCGAAACGTAATATAAGATCTTGCGTAAGTCGATGTGTAGTATGTAGGAGATTTACCGCTAAGGCTTTATCTACCACTCCGATCTAGATACCCCTTGACAGAATAAGAGATTCGGCAGTCTTTGAAACAACAGTCGATCTTTGTGGACCTTTACTTCTGAGACCAAAGACTAAAGCTTGGATCGTCTTGTTCACCTGCGCCGTATACCGGGCAATTCACCTGGAGCCTATCACCCCTCTGAGTATCGAAACGTTTCTACAGGCTCTGAGACGGTTCATTGCCAGACGAGGCCGTCCTGCGACAGTGTACTCAGATAACGGAACCAATTTTACCGGAGCAGACAATCCTCTGAGATGCCTGGACTGGAGAAAAATCACAGAAAACGAGTGTTTTCCAATAAAATGGAAATTCACCATCCCTACGGCTGCGTGGTGGGGGGGATGGTGGAAGCGCTTAGTTCCTTCCACCAAGACTCTTCTCGTGCGAATTCTAGGGAGATCGTCGGTGAATTTCGAGGAGTTACTGACCATCCTGTGTGATGTTGAATCCACATTAAACAACCGTCCTTTAACGTACATCTATGATGATTCGGAAGAGCTCGTACCTCTGACACCTTCCCTGTTTTTGCAAGACATAAAACAAGTGGGGGTACCAGATCTGGATTACATCGATTCCCAGAAACTGAATGTGCGTGTAAATTACTGCAATACGTTGAGACAAGAATCTGAGAAGTCGCTTCCGCAAGGAATATCTGGCTCAACTGGTGCAGAAGGCAAGCGCTTCATGTCAAAAACCTAGAAGGTTGGGGGACGTAGTCCTCATAGAACTAGACAATAAAAATACGTGTTAATGTGGCCAATGGGCAAAATTGTAAAAATATTCAGTAAGTAGAGATGGGGCTACCAGAGTGGTACAGGAAAAAAAACAAGCAGTGGATATTTGGTAAGACCAATCAAAAAAACTGTACCCACTAGAAGTTTCAACTACCAGTGATCCTGTGCTAACTCTGGCAACTGAAAACAGATCTAGATACGGTAGACTCTTAAAACCAAGGACATGAGTTTTGGGTGAATGAAATGGGATCCGCTGCCCCGCTGCGAATATTAGTAAAATATATTTAGAGAATTAGCTGCGTTGGAAAGGATAAAACCCATGTGTTTGTATTTGCGGTATTTTACCTCCTAAAGTTGCGTCGAGTTCAGAATATTATGCATTCTTATTCACGCTGGTGCAGATAAGTTTAAATTTTTGTTATTGTGTTTATAGTGTATAACTGCAAATATATGAATAGAATTCTATTAAATAAACATTTAAAATTCTGGAATGGTGTTTAAAATTTTAGATGTAGAGTATTCACATTGCTATGTCGGAGCCAGTGCAGTCAGGTGTAAAGTAAAAGTGTTTTTGCTCCAAGACGTAACAAAAAGACAAAATATGTTGAATAATTTATTTATTGGATAATAATCTTCTACATTTCCCTTTTATAACTAAACAATATGAGTCCTACAGGTACAAGCTACTAAGTGATGATAACAGCTTCGTTTGCTTTTAAATTAATATTGTAGAAAATTTACCTTACAAATATTTATTACCTTGGATTTATATTTTATTACCTTATACTTATTTTCCCAAAGTCATGGGAAATTTATCTTATAAATATTTATTATGTTATACTTAATTCTTTATTACCTTGCAAGGTATTTATTTAAATTAACCAGTTATTTTATGTTCCTCATCTTGAATTTCAACGATAGCATTCTGTCTTCGCGGTTGCTATATTTTTATCAATAGTGCTTCTCATGCAACTTATGTGTTAATTATTTTTGGGCAGCCTTTGGCTAGCCTAAGCTTTAATTTGAAATTTTATCTTTTGAGTTACACCATAAATACTGGCTGGTTTTGTAAGCTCAATAAGTGTCTTCTGTTCAGTTATTTGAGTTATAAATAAATGGGTTTTTTACACCCTTCTTAACTTTTTGTGGGATCAACCAGACATACCAAAATTCGCTTAAATCCATGAGACTCTTGACGTAGACTACCTAAAAGAGCGAGGCTCTAAAGCCTTATACTTGTTTGCATAAAACTGTAGGAAATTTAACAGCTACTAATTCTTGATAAAACTATAGAAAATTTGTTATTAATATTTATCTTCTTTTAATTATACTTACATTTTTTTACCTTATTGTTATACTTTACTCTCTTATATTTATTTTCATAAAATTGTAGAGAAACTTGATAGCTTCTTTTACCATTTTCATAAAATTGTTGGAAATTTTCCTTATAAATAAACGTTTATTTCTTTGTACTTATTTTCATAAAATTATAGAAAATTTGTCTCATAAGTATTTATTGCATTGCACTTTATTACCTAAAACTTATTATTATTTTATACTTAATTTCATAAAACTGTAAGAAATTTAACAGCTCGTTTTACTAATTCCAGAAAATCGTAGGTAATTCACCTTTTAAATATTTATTACTTTATATTTAATTAACTTACATTTTTTCTGTCTTATAGTTTGCAAACGCCATTTGAGCGTTTGCAATGACGCGAGACTTACAGCCCAGAAAAGCGCTGAGTCACTTTTAAAATTGTTGCCGCCAAATGTTACCGCCCTGTATTAAAGAAATTAAATAATAAAGAATCTGCAAGAATGTGCGTATGTTTCTCGCACTGTGAAAAAAACAACGGTACCTAGAGCCATCCAATTTTGAATGACGTAATCCTCCTGCGAATATAGGCATCTGGAAGCCTAAATTTGAAATTCGGAATTGGTTTTATTATCTATTTCATATTTCGTCAACTTTAACGAATTTTTGATTAAAAGATTTTAAAGCGAGCAGTGGCAACACCGTACGAAATAAAACATTTTTGTCTCCAGCGCGTGAGGCAGTCTATCGGTCACTGTAAATATATGCTGTTTTTGAATATTTTTAGCCCAAATGCTCTCGAAACGGCTCTCGAAGCATGTATGTGTGTGTAACTGAAAAAAATGCCCCTTTGGATGTAATATAAAATCTGAATTCAGATTTTTTAAAATTTGATTCACATTAAAAAAAAAAAAAAAAAAAAAAAAAAAAAAAAAAAAAAAAAAAAAAAAACACTACTTGTGAGACAGACGAAGCTTCGCTACTTGTGAGTATTTAAATTAACACAAGGCACAGTTAAATTCTAGCATAAGTAACATAGTCTGAGACTACAACACAAAAGCAGATTACTTAAGCTGGCTCAAGATAATTAACCAATTTCCTTCTGTACGCACAGAAAAATTGAATGAAAAAGGATTAATAGGTTACTATAGGTTACTCTGAACCTTCTTTATTTATAGTAGATGGCAGCTGAACACAGACCAGTCCATATATTTTATCCATGTTTAGTTTTTTAAGACTCATTTTTCAAAGAAATCTTCCAGATATTTTAGGGCATAAAACGAATTGTTTGAAAAGAAATTTCTATGTTATTTTTTGGTTGTATGCTAATCTCCTTATTCTATATTAGTTTTAAATTTTTACCTTGAAATTTTGCTTAAAACCAAACGGCGAACCCTAGGTGTGCCCAGACCGGGCTCACCGATAATCTAGGACAAATGAGAGTCTGTATTCTTTGTTTCTCCGCATTTCATCGGTCAGTTCATTGACACAATCCTCGTTTTAGCACTCTTTTCGAAGCTCTATTCAATCAGTGTGCCCACTTTGTGCACAACCACAGAATTAAAACGATAAGTGCTATCATCACAAAATTTTACTTGTGTACTCCTCTAAGCCTAATTAGACTGCCTACTTTCTTTTTTTTAAATTTATATCAACACTCCGACTTTAACAGGCAGCGTGCTGGAAAGGGTTAACGGCGCTTGTTTTTAAACGCCGGTAAAAAGACGCTAAAGTCAGAATAACAGGCAGAGCTGGCGTAATATGCAGCATCAGTGCGAGGCTGCTAAAAGCTCTATCTTTAAAACATTCAACTCTGGGGTTAACAACAACCTAATTTCCATTTTGGTGATGTCTATGGAAAGGAGAAATTAAAGTAAAGGTTCAGCTCACAATAATTGCTTAATTAACATTGGTAACATAAAGTGGTAACATCGGTAACATTGGTAAGATAAATCCTACACGTTTTCCATTAAAACGCAGTGCTGGAGTACTGAAATGTTTCAAAAATAAATTTTCAGAATATTCAGATTCGTAAAAGCATACATTAGTAGAAGAAAACAGACTCAAGAACATCAACAAACCTACAGCAACCAATTAAATCTTACTTTATGTGCTGTTTCACGCTGAGCCAATTTAAAAACCAGTGCAGCATGTATGGAAATTTGTCGTAATTTTAATTACTACAGCTTGAAA